ACGAGCATATTGTGTTCGATGATTCTATGTTAAGTGATGTGATATTGGATTCCACTAGTCGGCCCGTTAAGATTCCCAACGGAACTAGTGTTCCTGTGGCTAAAGTAGGCTAAGTTGTGCTATCGTCGGGATTGAAATTGGACAGAGTTCTTCATGTGCCCCAATTTCGTTGTAATCTGCTATCTGTTAGTCGTCTTACAAAGGAGAACGACGTTGCTTTGATTTTCCTTCACGATTTTTGTATTCTCCAGGACTTACAATCCATGAACGTGATTGGGAAGGGGATTCTCCGTGATGGTCTTATTATCTTCGCCTCTTTGCAAGCAGTGATTGTCAAGCATTTGCCGTCGCAGGAGGCCAAGCAGTTTCGTCCACAGTTTGGCATTCAAGACTGGGTCATCCATCTCTGTCAAAGATGGTGCAGTTAGCTCCGTTTTTGTCTCCTACACTTCGAGTTAGTGAGGAGTTTTGTCATTCGTGTTCTCGTGCTAAGCAGACTCGTACACCTTTTGTTTCTAGTAGCATTAAGACATCGGATTGTTTTGAGGTATATACAATTTTGTCTCCTTGGTTTAAAATAACATAACCAGTAGACAAAATCAAACCACCAAACCACTAGACAAATCCAAATTTATCTAGAACTTCATAAATGTCAAATAGAGAATAATACTAATTAACCCTTGAGTATGTAACCTACACAAAGGCAATTTTCATTCTTCTATTTCTCCATTTTACGAAGCCTTCTCCTTCTTCCTCATCTTCGAATCATCCCTCTTCCAAGTTACCTTCTGAATATGGAATACACCATGAGACAAGTACGAAGAAAACCCATCTTCTACTACCATCGATGAAAAACCCATCATCGAACATTCTCATAATTCCATAGACTGGAACCGGTTTCTTGTAAAGAGCGGTTCGAGCCATCGTACCGGAAAATATTATTTACCATTGTTGGAACTATTTGGGACGAGGGTACACGTACGATAGCCCGAGACCGGGTGACTAGGATTATGATAGAGTCGTGAACTACGTTCACTTTCCGTAAAGAATATTTCTACCCTCAACAAGCCTATGGTTACAGGAAATTTCTTCGTAGGATAAAACTATCACCACCTAGGTTCCAGGCTTAGGTACCTAAAGCATACTTAGAAGTTTAGTAGGAAGAAGAATCAATTTGTTTTGGTGTGTCCCCTTTCACCGTCAAGTCCCTCTATTTATAGAACACAAAGCATTGTATTGCTTCCTTGCCAACTTATGCATCGATCCATGGCAACCGTTCCTTGTAGAGGGATGTATTGCTTTGTCCAATTCAAAGCCAAGGCAAAACTGTCCCCATGCAATGGACACGTATATGTCCATTTTAAACACATGGTGCATTTGCCTAATTCAAATGCATGGCAAAGGTGAAGAGATGTGTCTTTACAACAAAAGTGGATATTCAACTGCCATCCAAACTTTGCCAATGCACTACGTGAGGAAAATAATGAAAGTTGGTTAATTCAAAATTAATGGATGGTTAATTTATGATTAACCTAATCAGTCTAATAATTTAACCAATCAAATTTCCAACACAACTTCATAGCACCTATATGATTGACTAGTACTTTAGTAGAGTCTGGAGATGAACAAGAGTGTCATGGACCAATCTATACTTATAAGCATTTCTAGTGAGCAAACAATATGGTTTGAGTTCTCTATGTTTAGGATCCAAAGAGTAACTAAATGTATATGGTCAATACTAGAGAATGAGAAAATATATATTTACCTGAATAGTTTGAGAATAGTGATAAATATTGTGAAACAAAATAGACATAGTGTTGAAAGAAAGGTGAATTTGATGGGGATGGAAGAGTGATACAAGTGGACATTGAATTGTTGGTACAATAATGCAACATGTATATTAGCTTGTTCATATCTTCTAGGGTGAATTCAGGGTGACTCACATTACTTCCTTAACCATTGTAGCTAACCTTTGTTGGTGTTTCACTTTCATTAGAAGTTCCTTGTGAAATTGATCGTACAAACTTGGGAGGTCCAGACTATGAGTTATTTCCTTGTTCTTACTCTTTGTTCTTTCTTTACAGTCACCAACATTCTTCTATGTTGGTTTTGTCCTCTCACAAAACTTATATAACTTGTTTCACTGACCTCGTTCATTACTCTCATTTTCCTTTGTGACATTAGTATGTGATGCCAAAGCCAGAGTGTGTGCTTTCTTTCCACATCCCAGTTCATTTTCTTTCAGTTATTGTTCATGTTGCATCAAGTCATTGCTACATCAACCGTAGTTAGTGATGACTTCAACATCAACCGCTGCTTCTTGACACTTTGTACTCAAGGTTAATGCCCTTGAGAAACTTGATCAGGGAATCAGTCGCCGACTACTGATTATAAGCAACCACAACAGTACAAGATCTTGATTGCCTGAGATGTAGTGACATTCTACTATTAGTCTATATACTAATCTCATAAAATCTTATTGAGCATGTAGTATTGATTGATAGACACAGTACCACACTCCCATCCATGTATCTCATTTTCAGGTTTGTCAATTGATTGGCAATTGACCAGATCTACGTTGGATCTCATCCCAAATGACTTCGCATTCTCATGACTCATTGCAGAATGCTTAGTATCCTTTTGCAGCGAATTCAAGATTCAAGTGACTACTGTAATGTTACAACTATCCTAGATAAGGAAGTTTGGCTAATTTCTAGATGGTAACGTTGTTGGTCGGACTTGCTAGAGTGGTAGCTGGCCTACATCGACCTCTCGGATACCATGAGAATATTCTACATAGGGTTAAATTGTAAGGAAAACCAACACATCAACAGTGAGTTGGTCCGCGCCTTTTACATTAATTAACGAACAATAATTACATATGACTACCACATGTCTTCCATTGGCTACACTTAAACTCAACAGTAAATTAACAAACGATTAATGCAACTAAACGAAACAAAGTCCAACACCTCGATAACATACTATAGAGACATGAAACGTTTCTTTATGAAACGTTCTTCTCCATGCAGTCACTCTTCGGGCCTTCTTTTTTCATCTTCATTGTGTAATCCTTGTGTGATATGGATTAGCTGCACCCAAGCAATTTTATCAGTAGGATATATACTAGTCTTCCAAGTCATAGGGGTGGTTTGGATGCAGGATTGTAGTGAGTGATTTGTGAGAGATTTTAAAACGATTCCTCATTATGCAGGATTTTAAAACAATTCGGCGTTTGGAAACGATGAAGAATTGTATGATTAGTGATTTTAAAAACTCTCATTTGTGGGTTTTAAAAATAGCTGATAACCATCAGCTATTTCACAATCTCTCATTCCTATTTCATAAATTAGAACTTTGCGATTAGGGGAAGAATGGTCTGAATTCGGGTTCCTTGATTTAGCATTTGGGTTCTACGATTTGGGGGTAGGAGAAGTCGAATATAGGTTTGGGAATTTGGGTTAAACGATTAGAAAGGGGTCTGGGATAAATACGATGATTGCTGAGCGATTTATGGGTTTGGGCGACAGCTCTTGGTTTTCACTGTTTGGTTTCATCTTCTCTCCTCCTTCGACTCGTCTCGTTGGTAGAGAGTTGAACTCCCAGACCCCAACTCATCAACTCTACGTTTGTGAACTTTGGTATGAATGAGGGTTAAGTAATATTGGGTTTTGATTTGTTTTGGGTTTGGACTATTGTTGCGATGTTGAATGTTTATGGATTAGAGGAGGAATTCGGCGAGGAGAAGTGAGGAGGAAGCCTGCGATGATTAGTCCAAGAACAAGATGAATGTAGAAGAAGATGGGCACTAAAGTAATTTGGCATTTTAGTTAAAAATTATGTGTTTCATTCCAAACGAGTTATTTCAAACAAATCACACATACAAATTCTTCAGTATTTTAAACGAGAGATTTAGACCAAAATCCTTCATTATTAAAATTCCTAATCCAAATGACCCCATAAAGATTTTTAAGTTGGATGGGTGTTAACTAAGGGTTCGTTTGGAAGTTGCGATTGTTAAATAGATGTATTATTGAGAATGCATTTATAATATTATACATGTATTGTCGAATTTGATGCATTGTAGAATACAACGTTTGGTATGTGTGATTGTGTATGTCGCATCAGCTAAAAGCTGAGACAAAACAATCTCAACTCAACTATCTCAACAATCACAACTAAAAGTTGAGATATAACAATCACTCAAAATGAGTGATAGTTTCTGTCACATCACAGAAACAATCCATATATTGTTTCTGCTAAAAAAACAAAAAAACGATGCATTGTAAACAATACATGCATAATGACAATCTCAACAAAACTATCGCAACTTCCAAACGACCCCTAAAAGATATGGAGTGAGCTTGTGCATGAAACTAGCTGGACTACAACTTTGCACAACTGTATCAGATTGTCATTAGTGATCACGATTAAGCCTCGAAAAAAGTTGAGAACCCTATTACGATAAATTGACAATACCATACACACAAATCACTTATCTAAACTTTACGTCTTTACCCGTAGAGGTGAGAGATGGGTGGAATTATGAGTCTGAGGGAGCAGATCATTGGCCCAAACTTACGTCCACTCAAGAGGTCCGTTTGATTCAGCAAAGAATTATGGAATGGGACAGCTCTGCCCCAAACCCACTTTTACTTTACTTTAGATTGGCCCATAGATAGAGCTGAGAGAGAGAGAGAGACGTCAAATGATGGGCGTGACCTTTTGCTTATAAGATACAGTTTTCTTCCTTTTGGCGCAAATGATAATTAGTAGTTTAGTTTTGGTGTTAATGGCTTCAAGCAGAAGAGCATCGAAAGAAAAGAAACCCACCGCTTTGGACAGTACAAAATACAGTACTCTCTGCTTCAACCAAAAACAAGTTTAGTACAATACTTCACTTGATGGAGTTGATCTCAATACTCTAGTTTTTTATTGCTCTTCTGTTGCTTTCTTCTGTATACATTATACACCCATGCACACGTCTCTATATCTCTCCATCTCTCTCTCTCTCTCTCCGCTTTCATCAGTTTCAGAAGAGAGGGGCCTCATTTTTCTTTAAAAAGACACACCAAACTTTGGCTCTTCCCTTTCAAGTTGGAAATATTTATTATTCTCCTCCTCCTCCAACTCCATCTAATCTAATCTATCCCCTTCTTTCCTTTTCCTTTTCATCGTCACTTATCTCTCTCTCCTCTGGCAAAGTGGCTAAATTTCTGGCGATTTTCTGCAGTAGGAAAACTGTGACAGAGTGAAAAAGAGAGATGGTATGGTAGAGGGGATGGGAAAGAACTTGGTGTGGGTGTGACAGACTTCTGAAACTGATCATGGGAGGAAAAGGAGGGGAATGAGGTAAAAGAAACAGAAAAAACCCATCTCCTTTCCTTCTCAGTCCTCTCTCTGAAAAAATAAAAGCTCTGATTCAATCTCTTCCCCTATTTTTCTGTTCCCCTTGGGATTGGCACTAAAGCCCGTTGTCGCACCAGGAAAAACTGCTGTAAGATAGGAATTCATGGTGGTAGTGGTGGTCTGTACTGACCAGCCAGTAGTAGTACAGTCCTGATTCCTCAATCCCCTTTTCTGGTCACTTCTTTTCAGTTTTCTTTCACTTTTTTTGGTGGTGGAAATTTTCATCCGTTTCTTGATCATGTGGGTTGCTCCATGCGGACTATGATGAATGGAATAGATTCCTCTTCTTCTTGATCCTTTCACCCCAAAAGAAAACCCCTTTTTCAGTCTGTAGAGAAAAAAACCCAGCAGAAATTTTTGAGGAAAAGCAAAACTGAGACGGTCTTGCTCACTTATGGAGTCTACAGAGACTTGAAGCAGAGCAGCAGCCTTGTCCAGTTTCCCTCAAACTTCGTGCCTCTCTCTTTTTCAGCAAGTGACCATCTTTTTTTGTTAGGAAGAAAGAAGCAAGACTTCCTCTGTTTTTGTCTTCTCTGGGATACCTGGTGAGTTCTTCTTCTTCATTTTTGCTCTGTTTCGTATTTTCTGGGATGAATCTAAAGCAAGTTTCCATCCAAGTTTGTTAATTTTTTCCCCTTTCTCCCCCCAATTTTTGGTTTGAAGCAGTAATCGAAAAGCAGAGCAGTAGAAGCAAACAGTTATGCTGGTAAGGCACAGATCCAGAGCAGTAGCTAGGAAGCAAGCTTCAATGGCGACTGATCACCAGACTTCTCAACCTCCACCGACAACCACCCAAAATCAGACAAAACCCATCATCCAATCCCTCCTCGCTTCCCCAAGGTTCAAAGCCTTCACATCCGAATCCGACCAAATCATCAGTCCAACCTCCATTATCGACTCTGTCAAACCCTTCTCTGCTCTACGAAGCCCATTTCAACAACAACCATCCCCCAAATTTTTACCGGAAACCAAACACCAGTGGGAAAAATTGGTGGAGTACTACTCCAAGGGCATCGGGGTCGCACTAATTGCCGACTCCGAGTCCGAGAAGAAACCAAAACCCATCAGCGGGCTTAAACTAAGAGTCCAAATCCCACCTCCCCTGCTTCCAGACTCCTCCTCACCTCCCAAATCTCCGGCGGAATTCGGGATCAGGACAAGGATTAGTAACCCCCAGCTGCCGGATTCTTCCAAGGAATCTCCCCGGGTTGTCACTGAGTGTCTGTCTGCGACGGAGATGGAGCTGTCGGAGGATTACACCTGCGTAATCTCCAGGGGAGCTAATCCGAAGACGACCCATATATTTGATAACTGCGTTGTGGAAAATTACTTCGGGGTTTCAGAGGATTCGGGCTCTGCCGTTCCCGATAACAAAAACTTCCTTAGCATCTGCTATACGTGCAAGAAGAGCCTCGAGCAGAAGGGTGACATCTTCATTTACAGGTTCGTCGTCTATTTTTCAGTGTCTCTCAAAAGTCCGATTACTGCTTTTACTAATTGCTAACCCATTTTTGTTTTTACAGAGGGGAGAAGGCGTTCTGCAGTGGAGAGTGCAGGTACCAGGAGATGGTGTTGGATGGAGGATTGGAGGGTTGAGATATGAATATTGGAGAGAATCAAATCAATCAATTGGCGTTCTGTGTATTGTCGAGGGAGGATTCAATTATGGAAGAAGCATCATCAATGGAGTTTCAATTATTAGAGTGGTTCCGAAATTGGTTGGGTTGTGATGGGTTTTTGTTTTGGGAATATGATAGGGATGTGTCGTTGGATGGATGGATAGATTGGCTTTTTTCTCTTCTTTGGAACGATTTAGCCGTTTTGATTAATGTTAGTTTGACTAATCCTCTCAGTTGCAGATAAAGATAAAAGAGAGGATAGTGATTGTGACAATGATGATGAGTGCAATTTTATGTTGTCAAGTAAATGTGAATGAGATAAACCAAACATTCTGAAAATGTAAGAGAAGAGTAAGAAAATTTGGTAACGTTGTGTGCTTCGTCCACGTTTTCTTCTGACTGGACAAAGAAAATTTTACGGATTGGGTCTCTCTTTTGTATTTGGTATTTATTTAGGGATGAGAATTTTGATCTGACCTGATTTACTCGATTTATTTGGTCTGTTTTGGGGCGGGTCGGACCCGGCTCGTAGGCAGGGTCGGGCGGGCATGAGTATCTCTCGTTGATCTGACCTGCACTAACCCGCCCCATTCTCGACCCGTTCTTGCCTAAATTACATGTTATCTTAGTCAAATTACTTAAGATTTTCCTCTTATTACATTATATTTTAATTATAATAAAGTTGGAAACAAGTGAAAATCTCAATTTTTTCAATAATTTAACTACATTTTATCATATTATGGTTTTTTCTTTGTCTTTGTCTTTTACAGAAAATAATTAATATTTCTAATGTTTTTCGCATCAATTACATACTAGCTTTTACCCGACCCGTTGGTCGGATTAATTTCATTTAATTTGCTATAATTTATGTTAATCAATTGATTCATATATTTAAATGATTCACTCTTTTAAATAACTTATATATAATTTGAAAGTAATTTTTGTGATGATTATTGTTTGAGACATTTCATATAATTAGTTTATAAATACTTTTTTGTACATAAGATCATCATAACATACAAATTTATATATACTGTTCATATTTAAGAAGAGAATTTTCCACTTTTTATTATCCACATAAATAACTTAAGAATGATTTTTTGATGAAATTCAGTATTATTAACATATTAAACTTACCTGGCAAGCACAAAAAATAGGCAGCAAACGCTGAAAACCTATGGAACATGCCAAATTTCTAGCTACTGAAAGCAAGTTTTGGATTATTGTTTGCAACTTTCAAGTTCTTTGACCATTTAACCTTGTTAATTGTTCATAAGGAGAAGTTGTAACACACTTTGGTTGAAATCATAACTAACCAAGACCAAACTTATATATAACAGGATGGTAAAAAAGAATATGGGAAATTCCAAAGAATTAAGCACCCTGCTAAGTCTGACTGCCTAAGAGATTGATAGAGTAGGAAGTGCTAGAAGCACTTTTAATTTTCTGAAATGGTGACATTTATTCAATCTAATATGTTGAAGGCTTTAATTACAAACTAAAGACACCCTTTAAGTTGGGGCCAAAACAGTAGAGCTCGATGGAAATAAGAAAGATTATGATTATATGATTATACATACTGCAAGCTCCCTTCTTTATGGACCAAAATAGTTGCTGTTTTCAGACATTTAAATGAAGCACCTGCAGAAAATTCTCTTGCTCAATCATCTGTATACAACCTTGTTTCTATACGGCTTTCATGGAAAAATCTGTTTACATAATACATGTATATGCCTGTAATCAGTACCATGCTTATCCAGATGGTCAAAGCTTCATTTCGGTTTCCAATCCACTTGAGTCCGTGTTACATCTCTGGTTCTTATTCCCAAGTGATGCAGCACCTTAGTTGTTTGCTGTTGGTCTGCACGATCTCTAATTCACCATGATATCAGAATCCTCATGTAAGCATTGAAAGTCTCCTTCATACTGCTGTAAGCAGGGCGCATCAATGACAGACCTTCCGCTTCGAGTTTGACGAACCCACCGACTGATCAACCACATAAATTCCTAGGGACCATGGCATAACATCTTACAACAAATCGATAGTCGTCTACAAACACTGTAATCCAAAAACTCACAATGGACAAAATGAAACTATATGCAATTAAACAAAAGAGAACAAATCAAATTTAATACCCTAACTCTATAAGAATATAGAGCAACCCAGTAGGTAGAGGTCAAATTTCCATATGAAGAAAAAAGCTTTTGAACAATAAAAGTGAGATTGTGTGAAATAATGAAACCAGAATACGCAACATATAATAACTTCCTCAAACTCAATTGTTTGCGTTAGCCAGGTAACTTGTGAGAACTATGTTTTGCTACCAAACAAACACATTCCCCATGGTTCCAAAACAGACCAAATGTTCTAGAAAAATATCATCGAAAAAAAGAACTCAGTTTATTATTTGTTCTATATTCCATTCAAGTACCAAGAAGGACAAAGAGAAAAGATATTAAAGCGTAAACCAGGTTACCTAACAAACTTGTCCCTTTGACCAAGCATGTACCAGGTCTTTACCCAATCTTACATCTTGGGAGCTGTATACATCACATGCAAGTTAGTAAGAAATAGATTTCGATTAACTCATGACCCAAAATTGTGGATTCTATCCTCCTTTCTTATCCCAATTTCACATCCAAACTTTAAAGTGGTTGATACTATCATGTCTAGTGCCGGCGCAAAGCATATAACCAACAACTTCACTATAAAGCCAAGCACACATTACTTGAGAAAATTTGAGCTGAAAACAAAGCTATTCAGCAAACATATCTACATGACATAAATAACTAACTGCAGGTTTTATCTAAACACAATCCGCCCTAGATAAGTTTGACTCCTATGATCGTGTTTTTGGGATTCCTTACCAAAATGTGCTCGCACTACCATTTCTTCAAAACACCACAGCGAATCGCAGCACTACCAGTCATGCATATTCTCTTTCTAATTTCGACTTCAGTACATGTTTAGAGCAAAATTTTAGTATCAAGGATTCTCCTGTTGGAATAATTAACAGCGAAAGGCTTGTAATTGCATATTCCTAACTAAGTCTTTGAAAATAATTACGTGGACAATGAACGAAGGTGAAAGAACCAAAATCAAAACTTGTGCAGGGAGGAACAAATACCCGGGAATTGGTGGGTACGCATCCAGTCTAAGCGTTCAGCCTCAATTAACGCAAATGCATTCACCATATATTGTTGAAACAATTTACCAGATAATAACAGAGAATTCGACTCCTGGAGACGGGTTTGAAGACGATATGCATAGAAATCACACTGGGTTATCATTTTATCTCCAACACTGATATTACAGGTACTGTGACTATAGCTAATGCAGGGATGCCACCCATCCTCGCCATATGGGAATAAAATTGGATATTGTAATGCCATCAGACTTGGATGGTATACGCTAATCCTTTCCATTTCTGAACCCTTCTGTTGAACAATAATATCTGGAGAAAATGATTGCTCTCCTGTTTCATCTACAATCAATGCTGCAATCTCATTCGCAGAGGGCAAATCATATTCTCTACTATTAATTTCACGCTTAGCCAATAATTTCACGCAAATCATATCTCGCGCAGAACGAAATGTACGTACCAGGATATTATTGTCATCAAATATATGCTGGAGGCCTTCAACAATACACTGGCGCAACGGATTCTTGGCAGGATCAGTGGAGTAAAAGTCCATACGATTCTGCACCTCGTTATCTGAATCGTGAATGTAAAGCTGTGCAAATTTCGGACTATCCCCATCACCAGGAACCAAACATCCTATTCGATGATAAATCTGACAACCGATTGAATATACATAAACTCCACGACCATCATTAATAGAGTGATTGACTTTACCTCCGAGAGAAATAAAGCAAAAAACCCCATTATAGGCTCTGATGTTAGTACGAAAGTGACGCGCTAATGGTGTATCCCCTTCAAGTAGAGTTTTAAGAAATTCGGGCACATCTCTGCGGGGAGGCAATTTCACTTTACCATGTTTGCAACATAAAGGAAATGCAGGCAACACATCATTCCATGTAGATAAAGTACTCTCGAACCGCCACATAACGGCTCCACAATGTTGACACGTACATGAAGGTGGACCAATATCAAAAAATTCAACCAACGGAAGACCTAGTGAAATAGATAAGTAATATTAATAAATTTTTGTCACAGTAATTCATAAATTGAATGAGTTTGAGAAACTGTGAAGCCGATTTAGGCGCGCTACAGTAAACACAATTATTAAAATAAATGTTCTCAAGGCAAGATAGATTGGTATACCGCTCATTTTAAGTAAGAATAAGTCAAATTTCAGGAAACACCAAAGTTTGTTCATAACACACAAATTTGCCGTTGACACATCAACATCTAAAAACAATCCACTATTTGCATAAGGTGGCATGAAGCGTACATCACTAAATTATATGCATGACATAAATGGGTACATTATATGTTCTAAAACCAAAATAGGAAACAAAATATGTTGACCAGAACACAAAAACATATATCCAATGTACAAAAACTAAACCAAAATAGAGATGAACCATTTCATGTATAATAGTGGCCATTAGAATCCACATACTTTGATTGACTTCTGTAGGAAAGAAACTTCGGCCACGTCTCTTTCTATGCAGATGAATACGTCGAAGTAATCGACTTTGCTTTTGTAATAGAAATCTAAACTCCGGCTCCAAAACTATGAACAACACCAAAACACATACGATATTAAAGAAATAAATAAAGATTCAACAATCTAGAATAGCCTAATTTGTAAGACTTGCTACAAAATTTAGCAAACAACAACCTTGGTGTTCAAAAGGCAAGCCCCTCCTATGAACCTTCTGTTTCAAAATATGATGTCTTCTCTTACGGGCGACTTGGGATAGTATTCGCCGAAGTTGAGAGAGTTGGTATTGTAAGGCAGCTTCTTCTGCAGAATTTAAATATAAAACCATCTATTACTCATTGAATAGATGAACTAATTAGAAAAATTAAAACACAGATAACACACCTCTCTCAAATGCTTCTTCCTCTTCAGCAGATAAAACACAGCGTTGGTACTAATCTTCAGGATGAATAAACACTGCTCGACGTTTCCCTAAACAAATGAGATTCAAGGGAAAATATTAATGTCAGTTTGCATTGAAGCAGTTGCGTGCTAAACCATGACACTCACATGGTACAGACGATCGATAAATCTGTGGTTGGGCAGATGGGATGACATTTGCACTATCCAGATTAAATTATCCAATAACCTGATGCAATCTGAAATAGAGGTCGTGGTAAATGATGCACCCGTTCCAGTAAATTTTGCAGATGCCATTCATATAAATTAATTAATTGTTACAACAGAAGTTGAACTCCTCACCATTTATAAGTTTGTGCGAGTTAATGACACATACAACACATCACACAAACATAACAGTCGAAGAAAAATATAACTATATAAGGCATAATTTAAATTGATGAACAAAACACATATAAAAGAATGGCTTCCAAGCTTGGGGATGCAAAGGAAGAGCGAGAAGGACAACAATGTAATGGCCAACACAAATATATGTTTATTTCACGATTTTGAGCTGAGTGATCAAACTTGCAATTACTAAAACTCTTTAAAGC